TAAACCTTTAAGGGATTGAGAAAGAAATACTTGAATATGTAGCCTTTGAAGGGACCTTCATAATGCCCTAGTTTCCTCTCTCTGTGTGGAGATTAAGTCTTTCACATCTTGGTTTCATAGGTTACTGTGCCTTAAGTTCTTAACAGTGTGGAAGCAGGAAAGTGAAAGAACCAAAGTGAATTCATTGTTCATTTTAGTGGGGAGTGATTAATAAAACTGGACCCAGACTGTGAAGTACAGGGCTAGTGGAAAATGATTCTGTTGCTTTTGTTTTCAAGTATTGAAAGTAAAACACATTACCATATTTCCAACATTGTTATATTAACAAGTTCCTGGTTGTTGAGAATAATGAAGAGGGCCAAATTGCCGGGTGTTAGAATTCTAGCATAAAAGTCTTTCAGAATAACCGTAGTAAATTAGACTAGGTTGTTAAAACATTGCTTAGATTCTTGAAGATACCAACCCCAGGTGATTATTTTACTGTGTAAGCATACTTACAGTTTTTATTTTCTCATTATCAGGCACTTACTCTTTAGGAGGTGCTGTCATTGTTAGTTGCTGTCGAGTCAGCTCCGACTCATGATGACCCCATGTACAACAAAACAAAACAAAACAAAACATTGTCTAGCCCTGTGCCATCTTCACAATCATTATATGCTTGAGTCCATTGTTGCAGCCACTTTGTATTTTGAGTGCCTTCCAATCTAGGAGGTGATCTTCCACCATTATATTGGACAGTATTCTGCTGTGGTCCGTAGGGTTTTCATTGGCTAATTTTGAGGTGTGGTTCACCAGGTCTTTCTTTCTAGTCTGCCTTAGTTTCGAAGCTCCTCTGAAACCTGTCCACCATGGATGACCCTGTTGGTATTTGAATTACTGGTGGCATAGTTTTCAGCATCATAATGAACACTCAAGCTCCCACAGTATGACAAACTGACAAATGAGTGGTAGACTTAGGATATAGTAATCTTCAGTTTGAAAGTATATGTGCTTATTTAGCGTATACTAAAGTTATTTAACAGATAATGAATAAGCCAGCAAGTTATGTAAGCTAGTACTTTTAGAATTCAGCAGTATGTAAAATATTGGCATTGTGTAAATATTTTCTTCCTCATCAACCTTTCATCTACTAGTTTTAGTATCCGTTGATGACTTTCTGAATAAATCCTTCCTCCTTCCCTTTCTCCCTCCCTCTCTCCTCCCCTATCGATCTGAGTAGATTTTATAGATGCCTGTTGTATTCAATAGGTTATAATCCTTTACTGTTTTATGGATTGAATTGTGTCTTCCCAGAATACGTGTTGTAAGTCCTAACCTCTATACCTGTGGATGCAATCCCATTTGGGAATAGGGTTTAACTGATACGAAGCCATATCAGTATAGGTTGTGTCTTAAACTAGTTGCTTTTGAGATATAAAAGGAGCAGATTAGGCACAGAAGGAAGAAGCAGGAAGCACAGTGAGGGAAGGTAGATGCCAGGTCACATGGAGATTGCCAAGGAACAGAGAAACAAAAGCTGAAAAGAGACAAGTATCTTTCCCCAGAGCAGACAGATTGAAAGACTTTCGCTAGAGCTGGTGCCCTGAATTTGGCTTCCTTAAATGTGAATTAAGAAAGTTTTAATGTTATATTTTAATCCTGATTATTTTTTTTATTATAATGGCATTGGTTATGGGTGATATTTCTGATTAAACGGTCAAGTTATAATAAACTCGACCTTAATGTGATTCGTAGCCTAAATCTAGAAGTTTCCTTAAAGTAAAATGCAAATTTAAGGAGTTAAGAAATTAACATTTTCTTCCCCTGAGAATCTAATTTTCTTACTCCTTAGTGGTGCTGTCAATGTCTTGTGATAATGTAGTATTTATTCCCTTTATAAGTCAAAAGGTTTTTTTCTTATAGTAGTGTTAGTAAAATATATCTAGGCTTTAGTTGTTTCTGGGTTGATATTTTCAGGTTTGTGATGTGTTGTTTCAATATGTAGTTTCAAAAATTCATTTTTTCAATAACAGGAAAGTCTTTTTTTTGTATTATTTATGCATGCTTCACAGAACACTTGCCATTTCAACATTTTTTACATTTAACATTGTAACATTAATTATATTGATCAGTGACATGAATTACATTCATCATGCTGTGCAATCACTGCCAATGTTTCCAATTTTTTTTCATCACCCTGAACAAAAGCTCGTTGCCCCCTAAGCAATGACTCCCCTGCTCCACCTCCCTCCCTCCCCTGGTAACCATTAATAAACTTTGGTCTCCATGCCTTTGTCTGTTCTAGATATTTCACGTAAGTGGAATCATAAAACATTTGTGACTGACTTGTTTCACTCAGGATAATGGTTTCATGATTCATCCGTGTAGCATGTATCCAGATTTCTTTTTCTTTTTTTTTAAAGGCTGAATAATATTTCATTGTATGTATTCACTACATTTTGTTTATCCATTCATTTGTTGATGGACATTTTGTTTTTTTTCCACCTTTAGGCTGTTGTAAGTAGTGTTGCAATGAACATTGGTGTACAAGTGTATGTTTGTGCTCTTGCTTTCAATTCTTTTGGGTCTGTACCTAGGAGTGGAATTGCTGAATCATATGTTAATTCTATGTTTAACCATTGAGGAACTGTGAAATGGTTTTCCACGGCACCTGTACCATTTTACAATCCCACCTAGGAATGGATGAGGGTTCGAGTTCTCCACGTCCTCACCAACACATGTCGTTTCCTGTTTTTGTGATCATCGCCATCTTAGTGGGAGTAAAGTATTATCTCACTGTGTTTTTTCCTGCATTTTCCTAATAACTGATGACATTGAGTATCTTTTCATGTATTTGTTGGCCATTTGTATTTCTTTGGGGAAATGTCTATCAAGTCCTTTGCCCATTTTTTAATTGGGTTGTTTGTCTTTTTGTTAAGTTGTCAGAGTTCTTTATGTTTTCTGGATATTAAACCCATATCAGATACATGGTTCCCCAAAATATTCTCCCAGTCTGTAGGTTGTGTTTTTACTTTATTGATAAAGTTCTTTGTTCAACAAAATTTTTTAATTTTGATGAACCCCAGTTTATCAATTTTATGTTTCATTGCTCATTCTTTTGGCATCGTATCTAGGAATCCGTTGTTAAAAACCAGATCCCGAAGGATTACTGGTATGTGTTTTTCTTAGATTTTTATCGTTTTAGTTCTTACATGAAACTGATGATCAGTTTTGAGCTAATTGTCATATATGGTTAAAGATATGGGTCCAGGTTCATTTTTTTGTATGTGGAACTTCACTTTTCCCAACATCATTTATGGTGCAGTGGTTAAGGTTGGCAGTTCAAACCCACCAGCCACTCTGCGGGAGAAGGATGTGACAGTCTGCTTCTGTAAAGATTAGAGCCGTGGAAACTCGATAGGGTAGTTCCACTCTGTCCTGTAGGGTTGCTGAGTTGGAATCGACTTGATGGCAGTGGGTTTGGTATGGAGTTTTATTCTACCCCCCTTGAGTGGACTTAGTGTCCTCGTTGAAAATAAACTGATGGGTTTATTATTGATTTGGACTTTCAATTCTATTACATTTGTTTATATGTTTGTCATTATACCAGTATCAGACTGTTTTGATTACTGTAGCATTATAGTATGTTTTTCTCCTTTTTCAAGATTGTTTTGGCTATTCAGGCTCATTTATATAATTGAAGTATACACGTCTTACTTGTATAATTTTGAAAATAGACATGTCAGTATAACCCATATATCTCTATCAAATATTGAACATTTTTTTCTTCTTGAAAATTCATGACTCGTCTCATTCCATTCCATCCGCTAGAGGAAACCACTGTTACAATTTTTCAACTTGAATTAGTTCTGTTTCAGAACTTCATGTAAGTGAGGTACATACTCTTTTGTGTTGACTTTTTTCACTCAGCATGTCTGTGAGATTCATCCATGTTGTTAAATTTATTAGTAGTTTCTTTTTATTAAAGAGTAGTGTTCCTCTGTGTGAATATGCCACAATTTGCTTAACCATTCTCCTGGTAATGAATTTGTGCTGCTTCAGTGTTGGGCTACTGTGAATAAAGTTGCTATGAACATTGCTCTACGAGTCTTTTTGTGGGCACATATGTATATTTCTTTTGGATAAATACTTAGGAGTGGAACTTTTATACTTTTCTATTGCTCATTTTTATGTCATAATAGTTCTTCTAAACTTTTAGGAGGAGGCAGAATTCAGGATAGCTTTTTTTAACTTCTGTTGTTCTTTGGTAGTGTGTAAAAATATAGCCACTTGTTTATTTACTGTCACTTCCTAGCTCCGTTCCCCTCCACCTTTTTTTTTTTTCCTGTTTCTGTTGTCTCTCAACTGTTAAGCTGATTTCACTCCTAGCAGCTTCTCGTCAGCATGAGGACCTGTCTTGGAAAGGAGTCGCTATTGGTCAGTTTAAAGTTTCATAGATTGCTCTCATGTCTTTGGGTCTTCTTAAGGTTGACCCCTTGTCTTCATTCTGTCCTCAAGTTGGCTTGCTCTGTTTTCTTGTCTGCTGTCCATGGTCTGGAAACCCTGGTGTTGTAATGGTTAAGAGCTACCACTGCTAACCAAAAGGTCGACAGTTCGAATCCACCAGGCTCCCCTTGGAAACTCTATGGGACAGCTCTACCCTGTTCTATAGGGTCACTATGAGAATTGACTCGACGTCAGCGGGTTTACAGGTCCATGGTACGGTTCTCCTTTTTGCAGGTCTGCCGTTTGTCTCATTGCTTTTTTCTGTTTATAGAACTTAGGAGTGTTGGTTGTTAGTCTTCACTCATTTGTATTTTAGCATTTGTTAACTAGTTTTAAGAATTATCCATGTGCATAGGGTTTATTGTTTTGTTCCTATTTAGTTTGGTTTGCTCTATTTTTACGTGAGAGTTCACAGACATTAAGAAATTCTGCCTTCATCCTGCTGTCTTCCTGGATTTCCATGGTTAATTTAATGTATAGTTAATGAAGTTGATTTTCTTCTCTCATTTCTCTAGAGAAAAAGGAATTGGGATATAGAATACTCATTCTTGCCAAGAGAGAGACCACCGCAGTTCAGAAAGGCAAGTTTCAGGACAGTGGGGGCAGCTGCCTCCCTCTCTGAAGCCTGGCTCAGATGTGGAGAAGGATTTCAGGACACTTCTGGAACTCAGGTAAAGTAGTTGTAAAATTATTTTCCGTGAATGCCAATCCTACTAGATTCCTGAGTCTTCAGGCCACTGTCATTATATTTGTTTGGAATTCCCTTCCTCATTTTCTTTCAGAATACTATAATTGGTGCATTACTTTTTTTATTTCTCATTCTTTGAATTCCTTTTATAATTATGGCAACTTAGGATTCACCTCTTTGTGCCATGTGGAATATTTCTTATTTCTTTGCAAATGGAAGATACACCTTGGGAATGTACTCAGAAGATCAAACTGTTGAGCACACTACTTTTCATAAGAAGTATATTTATGAAGTGTTTACATCTTCTGAACATTTTGGCTATTGAGATATTTTGGTTAAATTTTGTATATGTAGTAACTTTGAAATATGTGTAACACAGAGAAGTGATGTTATAAATTCTAAAGATTTTTTTTGTTCAAATAGTAATGTGGACCCCATAGGCGGGGTCCTCATTATTAAGAGTTATTAATATTGAATACTTACGTGAAGAAGTTTTGATCACTTAGCTCTCTCGATTTTAGAGTCTGGAAAAACATAAAAATAAACATAAGTATATAAGGATAGGTGCTCTGAGAATACTGAAATTGGTAAATAAAAGTAAAGGAAAACAGAAATGTGTTAAGGAGGGTGTAATTTAATGTTCTGAATGTTTTATAAAATATTGTTGGCTTTTAGTCCTTGTCAGTTAAAGAAATACCTTATTATCTTTTGCCTGAAGGTATTAACAGCTGAAAAGAAGACTATTACAGAAAAGCACCTTGAATTTTCTCCCAGACCCGAGGAAGGTAATGTATTTTTATTGATCTCTTGACAGAGAAGGTGTAAGGCTAGTATATCTTTCTTTGATATATTTTGTTTGATTTTTAAAAGTTATTTACATACTTTGGGTAGGCATGGTTGAAAACATCAAAACAATGTAAAAAGAACTTTTTTGAGATACCTGTATCTCATCTCTGTTAACCATCTACCTATTCTTCCTGCCCTCTGTAGGAAATTATTAAATTTCATGTGCATCCTTCCTGGGTTCACTCATCGCAGAGCCCATTAGGTTAGCTTAGGCTTATAGCTCTGGGGTTTTGAAAAAAACCCTGGCTTGGGAAATACATTTATGGCCCATCATATAAGAATTGTACTACTTCAGGCTAAAGGAGCTCTTGTGGTGTAATAGTTAAGTGCTCAGCTGCTAATTGAAAGGTTGGCAGTTTGAACCTACTCAGTGGCTCTCTGGGAGAAAGACCTAGCGATCTGCTCCTGTAAAGATTATAGCCTAGAAGATCCTATGGGACAGTTCTACTCTGTCACATGGGATTGCTATGAGTTGAAATTGATTCAATGCACCTAACAATAACACTTCAGGCTATGAAATTCTTGGTGAATTAATTAGGAAGGCTTTCAGCTATAAATAGTAGAAAATTCTGTTAGAGTGTTTGAACAAATGGGGTTGAATTTACCTCCTGCAGCTCAGTTTCTGAATTCAGCACTGCCACCCTTACTGTGGGGTTTGTTCTCATGGTTGTAAGGTGGATGTCCAGGCCAAGTTCTTGGGATGAGTGAAGACTCTAAAGATTTTCTCAAATGAGTTTTAACCTTCCTCTGGGAATGAATACCCTCTCTGGGTTCTTCTGTTTGCCAGAACCTGTCACACAGGGTCACCTCCTCTAAAGAAGCTTCAGGGAAATGAAGAAGTTTTAATTAGGTGTGTATGTGCTGCCTAAAAATAATTAAGATTTTGCTAGTAAGGTAGAAGAGGGTGGATATCAGGTGGGCAGCTGTCTCTGCTCCCACACTCAGTTACACTGGGGCCAATGTCGGGAGAATGGGGCTGGGGGCTGCAGAGGTTTGGTCAGGGTCTTGGTCCTGTTGTGTCCTGACTGTGTGATCTTGGGAAAGCAAGTTAAACATCCTGAGTTTCACTTTCTGCATCTGTAAAGTGGGCGCAGTGTGTGTTTCACTGGGTTATTATATTGTTGTTGTGGACCATCTAGTTGATTCTGACTCATAGTAACTCTATATGATGGAGTAGAACTGCACAATAGAGTTTCCTAGGCTGTAACCTTTACGGGAGCAGATCACCAGGTCTTTTCTCCCAGAAAGCGGCTGGTGGCTTCGAACTGCCGATCTTTCATTTAGCAGCCAAGTGCCTAACCATTGAACCACGAGAGCTCCTTGGTTATTGCATTAAGTGAGCTAAAAAATGTAGATAAAATGCCTAGTCCAAGAGTTTACACTTAGCAGGTACTTAATTTATGGCGGCAATTACTGTTATGTCTGAATGGAGAAATAACTGTGTGAGAGCTTGCTCAAAGTTCTACAAAGTGGAAAAACTTTCTGTGATTAACAGACTAAACATTTTTAGGTATATAATTATTTCATTAACACTTAAGGGGGTTCTTGAACTCCATGCAAGTGAAAAATAAAATTTCCCAGAATATTTTAAAATAATTCATAAAAACATTGTGTGTAAACTAGCACCCGTCTTTTTGTAATAGCCATGGTCTTCTGATGGAACTGTAGAATTTTAGTTCTCTTTTTATTAGTACCAAGTGCTATGATATTCAAAGTTCAATTTAACTCTTATATCTAAACCTTCATAATAACAAAGCAGTATTGTCTTTAAATAGATGTGGCTTATATCTTTTTCTGGAGATTTTAAATAAGTGTAGTCAAATCGGACTTTGAGGGAGAAAAACATGTTAAATAAGTTCCTACTTTGTACTTAATTACAAAAGGATCTTTATGATAATTTCTGGTTGCCAGTACATATTCTTTCCACTTTGCTATAGTTCCTACTCTGTAGAATGACCAATATATTCTGAAAGGCTGAAAGAGCTAGTATCACTGTACAGTTACTTTACATGCAACATATGGCTTGTTAAAGCAAGAAAGTATTTTTTTAATAATCTAATAAAAATTTAAAAATAGAGATTCTTAGGAAAAGAGACTCCAGGCATTTTCATTTTTAAATGAATATAACTGGTTGATTTAAAAAATAGTAGCTTCTAAAGTACCAGTTTGAGGCTTGATTTAAAAAATAGTAGCTTCTAAAAGTACCAGTTTGAGGCTTTGTATTATATAACAATTCCAAGTTAAAAATTCTACACCACTTTTAGGGCATGGAAGTGATATTTTTATGAGCGCTGGCAGACAGAGTGGGTGAACATATTTTTGCAGAGTGTTCAGAAGGGCAGAAAAGAAGGCACTGAGAACCAGAGAAGCCTGAAAAAGGAAGCGAAGACAGAAGATAAGAAGTGGTGGGAGAAGGGAGCAAATGAATGTTGACAAAAAATCTTGTCAGAAAGTTCATGGGAAAAGCAAGAAGAAAAAAACATGAGATTGAAAGAGGTTGGGTGGACCCTTGGTAGATAATGATTTTCTTTAAAGGTAGAACTAAAAAAAAGTATTTACCAAGCAAAATAAAACTGGAGGAGGGGGGACTGTTTATTTTTTCTGAAGGATAACTGCAAAGTATTTTCTCAAAGTCTTTGTTAATTGAGGCCAGAAATCTCCTGCCCTTTGAGAGGCATACTAAATTTTTTTCTTTTTTAGTCATTCCTTCACCTGTTTTTCTCCTTATTGTACCATTGGTTTCTTAAGTCCAGACCTCTTCTGTGGCTCATCCTTATGTTGCAGAGGCTAGCACAATGCCTGGCATACAGTGGGCACACAGGAATGTTTATAAATGCATGGTAACTGTTCTCACAGTCTTGCTGATGTTCTTCCTAGATATCCTCTAGAATGGACCTTGGCTTCAAGGGGAGAATTGTGTCCTTGAAAAAGATATGTTGAAGACCTAACTCTGTACTTGTGATTGTGACCCTATTATCAGTTAGGTCAGCATGAGGTCATCTTGGAGTAGGGTATGTCCTAATTCTGTATAACTGGTGTTCTTGTAAAAGAAAAGAGACACAAAGACAGGGACAGAGGAAGGATACCATGTGATGCTGCAGTTGCAAGCCCAGGAACCCCTGGGACTACCATAGCTAAGAGAGGCATGGAAAAAATTTTCCCTTACAGCCTCAGAAAGAATCAACATGGTGGCTAACACCCTGATCTCAGACGTCAGCCTCTGGAACCGTAAGGTGTTAAATTTCTATTCTTATAAGCCACTCAGTTTGTGGTATTTTGTTACAAGAGCTCTAGGAAACCAATAATAAATTCTTGGTACTGGTTTTACCTATATAAGCAGTATGGTTAAAAAAAACCAAACCGAATCCATTGCTGTCGAGTCCATTCCAACTCATAGCGACCCTATAGGACAGACTAAAACTGCCTCATGGGGTTTGCAAGGAGCAGCTAGTAGATTCGAACTGCTGACCTTTTGGTTAGCAGCTGTAGCTCTTGACTGCTATGCCATCAGGGCTATGTAGTGTGGTTAGGTGCCTATAATTCATGGCTTTTTAACGAGTCCCTGTCTCAGAATTTGAATGAGATAGCTATTAATTATTCTATCTCTTTTAATAGATGCAGCACTGGTGCATCTTAACATCACCATTAACAGAATGTCAGTGCCCCCTAAGGCAATGACTCCCTCTTTTCCTCTTCCTTCTGTCCTGTAATAAACTTTGGTCTCTCTGCATTTGCCTATTTTAGATATTTCATAATAGAGAGATCATACCATATTTGTCTTTTTGTGACTGACTTATTTCACTCAGCATAATGTTTTCAATATTCGTCCATGGTATAGCATGTATATAGATTTCATTTCTTTTTATATATTTCATTGTGTGTATTATATTTGTGTGTATTATATATATATATATATATATATGTATATATATATATATATATACATACATACACCCTACATTTTATTTATTCATTCGTCTGTTGATGGACATTTAGGCTTTTTCCACCTTTTGGCTATTGTGAAAAGTGCTTCAGTGAACATTGGTGTACAGGTTTCTGTTTGCATTCCCATTTTCACTTCTTTTGGGTATATACCTGGGATTCTCTGGTAGCGCAGTAGTTAAGTGCTCGGCTGCTAACCATAAGGTCAGCAGTTCAAACTCACCAGCTTCTCCACAGGAGGGGGATGTGGCAGTCTGCTTCCATAAAGATTACAGCCTTGGAAACCCTGTGGAGCAGTTCTTCTCTGTTCTATAGGATCACTATGAGTCACAGTCAACTTGATGGCACACAACAACAACAAAAACAAATAGCTAATGACATGGAGCATCTTTTCATGTGTTTCTTGGCCATTTGTATTTCCTTTTTGGTGAAATATCTAAGTTCTTTGCTTGTATTTTAATTGGATTGTTTGTCTTTTTGTTGTTAAGTTCTAGAAGTTCTTGATATATTCTGGATATTAAACTCTGATCAGATTTAGTTTCCAAATTTTATTTCAAATCTGTAGGTGGTTAATTAACTTTGTTGATAAAGTCCTTTGATGAACAAAGATTGTAAATTTTGATGAAGTACAACTTAACAGTTTTTTCTTTTGTTGTTCATGCTTTTGGTATCACATCCAAGAATCCATTGTTAAAAACTAGTTTCTGAAACATTACTCCTATGTTTTTTGCAAAAGATGTATGGTTTTATTTTACATTTAGGTCCTTGATCCATTATTAGTTAGTTGTTATATATGGTGTGAGGTATATGAGTCCAGCTTTATTTTTTAATGTGAATATCCAGTTGTTTCATAGTTCTGTAGGTTTATTTCTGGCCTTTTAATTCTATTCTGTTGGTCTATATGTCTGTCAAATTATACCAGTACCAGACTGTTTTGAGTACCGTTGTTTTATACTGTATTTTGTCCTCTCTTGATGATTTTTTTTCTAGATGGTCT